TACTACACAGCATGACCCTCGCATAACCCCTTCTCCAAAAAATAAGCCTGGGGATTTGATCCTGCGGCAGAGGACTTGCTAGTACGCAACAGCCTCTCAGTTCAATCCTCACTACTATTTAAAAACAAGAAACTGATTCCTGCAGTTGAGAGCTGGTGTCAGAAGCACTGTGTCCCCTTTTTCCTTTCCTTTTTTTTTTTTTTTTTTAAAGAGTTGGAGATTTAACCTTGTCTCCTCCTCCAAATACTCTTGAGATAGATCACGCTCTCCCTCCAGCCTGCGTCCGACCTGGGCATTTAGAGAAGGAGCAGCCAATACAGAGGGCAGCAAGACTGCAGGTGCAGACGAGATAGATCAGGGCGTGGCAAAAGCACGCTGGGGAAGTAGGTGTGACCCGCTGATGACAAAATCCCAGACACATGCACAGAACTCCAAAACACTCACGTGGACTTCTCTCCAGAACCTGTGCAGGTTTTTAAGTTTATTTAAGTGCATTGGTCCGTTTTAGGTATACATAATGATCACATTCATTATAGGGTGCAGCAGGTTTTCAATAGGGTGCCTAGACCTGACTTCAGCCTGAGCTGTGGGATCTAACCACCACCTCTGAGGACCCGTTCCTGGAAGCTGTTGCTGGTTTCGAGATTGAGACAGACAAAGGGACCCAGTGATGCCTTGAGGACTTTGCTATGGTAGCTTTCCACGAAGGCGCATGCTGTGTTTCCCAGGCGCAGTGTGTACTTTTATTTTGCTTTTACTCACTTTCTGTTTACTCGGCCCAAGGTCGCTCTGCAGAGCCAGTTTTTCTCCCATTCTTCACTTGTACTTTCTTGAATAAACTTTGCCATGGCCTTTTTCTTGTTTCATTTAATTATTTGTTTGAGACAAGAAGAACAGGGAATTCAACTTTGAAAGGAGAGGCAAGTGTGTTGGTTTGGGGCTTATTTTTGCAAGGGAACACAATATAATACAGGACATGTATTTTATAAGATTATTTATAATAGTCACCCAAAGAACGACATACAAGAGTGCAGGAAATCTGTCCACACACTAAGACCAATGAATCCAGCTGAGGGCCTGGATCCCACGGAAATGTCCTGCATGAGTCCAGCTGAAGGCCTAGAGCTCATAACAATGCCTCCCACGAGTCCAACCAGAGGCCCATAGCCCATAACAGTATCTCATGCAGACCTATTTCATGGAACTGCACTGGGAAGGCCCAAGGGTCAGTGGCGGAATCTAGGAAGTCTGTGCCAGCAGGATGAAGGATTTGTATTAGCAGGCTGGGGGATCTGCACTGGAGCCAGGAAGCAACGTGCAAAGTAAGAACCAGAGCTCCCCTGAAAAATACCACAGCCATCCTCAGCAACAGTGAGGTCCCGAGCTCCTCCAATGATCAAGATGGCCAAGTTCCCATCAGGGAAGCCAACACAGCAAGCTTCTCTAGGAGACAGGCAGTGCACCATCCTCTCCTCTGAAGCCAGGAAGCCATGCCCAAAGTGAGGACCAGAGCTCCCCCAAAGTGAACCAAAGCCATTCTCAGTGCCAACGAGGTCCTGAGCTCCTTGGAGGATGAAAACAGCCAAGTTCATCAGGAAAGCCAGCATGACGAGCTCCTCCAAAACAACCAACAGCTCCTTACAGCTTCCACCAGCTCCCAACAGCCTCTCTCAGCTTCCAAAAGCCTCTTTCTTCTTCCCCAGTTCTGCCTCTTATGCTGATGACAACAGTTCCCAGGTGGGCCTCCCACACCCAGCACCGCGCTGACTCAGTTCCGCTGGGGGTTATAAATTGACCACCACTTATCAATCCACCACAGCAAGCAACACCAAATCTAGTAACATTTAGCTGGTAGAACCACTTCTTAGAAGCAAGCTATCTGATAACACTGAGACCCAGCAGGGATGGGGTCTCCCCAGGTAATTGGTCCCTGGAGGCACCCTCACCCTCTGTCCTTTGCTGTGTTCCTGAGGCCTTGTCTCCTCTTTTCCTTGGAAAAAATGTAGAGAGCCTCTTCAATGAAAGTCTGTTAAAAAACAGGAAGTGAGCTCTGTGTGTGTGTGTGTGTGTGTGTTTGAGCACGACATGTGCATGCATGCAAGGGAAAGGCTTAACATTTTCTAGGTGGGTGAATTAAATGACTTCTGCAATCTTTTACAAAGTGAGCTCGGCAGACAAGTGCACTGTCAAGAGCATTTTCCCGAATCTCCAATCAACTGCAAACGCTGGCAGCCCATTATCCTGGGAGGCTCTCAGGGAGGTTTAGAGAGGCCCTGGAACCAGCCCATCTGGGGCTCGCTTGCCTGCGGACATCCGGCCTGAAAGTTGGAGTCCACGTAAAGTCCAGGGAGCCACAGAGGCGCCTTGAGGAGGAAGTGCCATGTGGTGCTGTAGCATCCAAGGAGGGCTGGATGCTCACCAGCACCAAGCCAGGATGAGCCCCTGTTCTGCTGGAACATGCAGCTCCTGGTGATTCTAAGCCCAGTGTCAGTAAAGAATTAAAGAAGCAGAATTTAAAATAAAGGAAGGCAATTTATTTGAAGGTGGGGGGAAGGGCGAGGAGAGAGGCATGGAAGACAGCTACTCTGGATGAGTAGGGAAATGCTTCTTCTCTGCAGCTCCTTTTATTCAGATCCTTGTCCCATGCAGGCTCCTGGAATCTGATTGGCTCCCTGGCTTGTCTTTCATCCTAACCTTGGATTTCTTCTGGCCAAGACTTTCTCTGCCCTTGAGTATAGGTGGGGGGCTTAGGGAAAGGCAGTTTCGGCACAAGGATTAAGTAAAGGGGCTGTTTGCGATTCTTATGATCTTCCAAGTCTTGAGTTTCTGCCTCATTCTTTGCCTTTGTCTTTCTAATTGCTCCAGTCCAGCTCCAGGAAGTCACAGGCTGCCTTGGAAGGATTTTCTATTAATTTAATAAAGCTCAGTGAATCCTTCATCCTATCTTTTCCCTACCTATGGGGCCCCCCGTTCCTACTTGCCTCCTCCCCGTAAATCTCTGTTCAATGCTAGACACTCTAAACTATGCGACACTAATATTTAGGGAATGCTTACTATGGGTCAGGCACTATGCCAGCTACTTTAATCTGCATATCAGCTCTCCAACCACACCAGCTCTCCAACTAGGCCTTATTAAACGAGGCAAGAGAGGTGAGGAGGGGCCACACTGCTGGGACGTGCCCTGCTTGATACCTGCTCTACAGCTCTCTAGGCCCACCAAGGGGTGGCTGGGACCTCGCTGCTGTGTGCAGTGGCAGGCTATGTCCCCAGCACAATGCCTGTGACCTCCACCCTGCCCTGGGCGCCAGCACGGACACTGGGTATTGGACTGGATAACACGTACAGAGTCCTCCCTCCTCTGTGATTCTCTCTCTCTTTTTTTTAGCACTGTATGATAAATTTGCTCCCTAATGATTTTTGAGTAAACTACAATGACCACAATTTCAAAATCATTAATAATTCATGACCAAGGGCCATAAACACTATATAATCTCTACAGGCAGGAACCATGAATACTTGTTAGGGACGAGGTTGAGAATATTTTAACCAGCTGAACTGAAAGTATTTACTGACTTCAAGCCAACCATCAAAGCGGCATTTTTCAGAAATGACTGTAGCTCTTACGCGGCCTCAGCTCCTCTTCCGGAAAATCTTTCCCTACTCTGGCACCCCCTGGGCCTTTACGTGGGGCTCCTCTGGGGTGACTGCTGTATTCCCCTTTGTGTCTGCTGGTGTCTGAGCGGTGGGAAACAGAGGGGCCCTGGAGGGCAGGAAGGTGAAGACGTGCAGGAAGCACCTGGCCAAGAGCAGGGGCCTGGGCTGGGCTGGGAGTGTGGCTCAGGGGGACAGGGCGCTCCTCCAGCATTGTGAGGGGCCCTGGCTTTCATCCTCACCAGAGAGAGAGAGAGAGAGAGAGAGATGTTAACGCAGAATGACTGTTAGCCTTCATCATAATAGTATGCTTCTTCCCTGCACAGAGGCGAACCTTCAAGTTAGAGATTTGCATGGATGGAAGCTAGGGCTATAGCTCAGTGGGGGCGCACTTGCCTAGCAGAGACCATCTCCAGCTGCACAAAAAATAAA